GAAGGGCAGAAACTGAAAGAGGCTGTAACAAAAACCAAACAACAAATGCTGTTGTCTACACATAACTACCACTCTGTCATCTAAATATGAGTGCTTCTGCTAAGAAATTGCATTACCCACACAAAGCAAAGCTTATCTTTGAGGTGGCAGTGAACAAGTGGCATCAAGTGCTGCCTTTGAATGCTTAAAACATCCTTTCTCTGCAGCATTTGATGAGCCCCACTGTTGAGACCACCAACATGCCAAAGATATAATGACCAGCCACTGTCTTTGCAGTCACCATTGAGCACCAGATGCATGCTCAGCTAACTTCGTGTGCGTTCCTATACAAGGAAACATATCACCCTAAACCAACTTGGCAGACACTTAAGACTAATATTTTTGGAGAAATGAATGAATACGTGAGCAAGGAGCAACCACCAAAGAACAGCCATATCCATTGCCAAAGTGAATCACCTAAGGAGTGGTGGCTAACAAACCCAGATGAGCTGCAGCACAACATTGCAGCCTCATTTCTGCAGTGTAAGAGAGCTCCTTACCATCTTCAACAGGGAGGAAACAGCATTCACTTGGCTCCAAGGCTGCTCTGGGAAAGATGAGTAATAAGCAGCTCGGTTATCTCCGCAAGGCTTTTGCATGCATGGCAGAATTTCCCTCTCCTTGGATCCCTTAAGGGACCTTAAACAGCCTTTGAAACACGGTACATTGCATCCTACTGATAAAGAAGGTTAATACTTTGGCTTCTTTTCTCACAAAAGACATCTCAATTTTATAATCTGCTATTATTTAGGATAATAAATTATTATTTATCATTTACTCAAAGCCAATAGGAAATTTTTCAGGAAGGAGAAACTGAACTACCTTGTTAAAAGATGAGCTATAGGGAGCTTTTGTCCAAGAAAGCTCTGAAATGGGAACATCTACATTTTTTCCCAGTGGTTAATTTGTTGTATGGGAATCTGTACAATCCGCTTGCTGCTCTGCAGATCAGCTTCTTCAGGTTTTAATCCAGACCATTATTTCTTTGGCTATGAAACCGTGATGGTAGCACACAAGCACATGGAGTTTGGCTGGAGTTGATGCGGGCTGTGGTTGCAACAAGCCTGTTTGCAGGAGCCTTGGACACTGGTTGCAAAACTGAGCTCCTTAATCAGATTTTGAGCACTTCAAAGAGGCTTCAAATCTCAGGTTTGGGTCCAGCTCCCTGACTTTGGAATCTGGATACACCCCAAGTGCTTGGAGGCATGCAGGTTTCCAAACCATTTCTAATTTCAACTAAGGAAGGACAAGCTGTCTCAGAAAACATTACAGGCTTGTTTCGAAGAAGGCTTTGATATCCTCATGTGAAGAGGACTGAAAGGCTTTTGGGTAATCAGGTGAACCTTCCCGAATGGATTTTCATGTGATTCCACTACAAGGCAATTCAATTCCCTTTCCTGCCTGAAAAACACTCAGTAAGTCCGCATAATGTGAGGGATAATTAGAGAGATGGAAGCCACGAATTAGATTATCCCTTCCACCCACCTGCCGGTGCAGGATTGTTCCCTACAGCATACCCCGAAACACAATGAGTGTTTTTCAACCGCTGTCCTGCTTCCAGCGTGCTCTGAGCAAGCACCAGACCTAGGGGAAAGGGTGGAGGAAAAGGACATTTTCTCCATATGATGCAAAACTGCTAATTTTTGAATACAGGCTGAGAGAGCTGGGCTGGGGCAGCTGGAGAAGAGAAGGCTCCTGAAGGGGACACCTTAGAGCAGCTCCAGGGCCTAAAGGGGCTCCAGGAAACCTGGAGAGGGGCTTTGGACAAGGGATGGAGGGACAGGCCAAGGGGAATGGCTTGAACCTGCCAGAGGGGAGACTGGGATGAGCTCTGAGGCAGAAGCTCTTCCCTGTGAGGGTGCTGAGGCGCTGGCACAGGGTGCCCAGAGAAGCTGTGGCTGCCCCATCCCTGGCAGTGCTCAAGGCCAGGTTGGACACAGGGGCTTGGAGCAACCTGCTCTAGTGGAAGGGGTCCCTGCCCATGGCCGGTGTTGGAGCTGAAGGAGCTTTAAGGTCCCTTCCAACACAAACAGTCATATGTGACTGGGGTTGTTAATGGTGTCTCCTCCCCTGTATACACCACTGATAGCAGAAAATGCGGCTGGAAAGATGCTGAAGATGCCCAGACCAAAGTCTCCTGGACCACAGTGATCACGGTCTACACTGTAAGACCCTGTGAGCTGATCCCTGCACCCACATCCATGGCCAGAAAAAAGACCAAAGAGGGAATAGGCAGGTGGTGGAAGAAGAGAAAAAAGGAACTGAGGGACCACTACTAAAAATCCCTTTTTGATTGCATTTGCCATAAAAGACCTTAACAATTACCCTAGTAGGAAGCAGCAGGATCTCCCCCCAGAAGAAATTAATGTGCACAAGGATAAAGTGTTAAGATGCCTCTGGGACTTTACTTATAAAATAAAAACCTGCCTGGGCTATTTCCATGTGAGAGTTTTTACATCTTAGCAGAGTAAGGAGGAACCACATTTTCCCCTGCCCTCTCTAACAGCATCCTTTTTGTGTTCCTTCTCCCTCATCCCTGTCATTAGGCGCTATCTGCAGCCCCATGGCCGGCTGGAATAGAGCCACTGTGTTTAAAATACATTAAGATGTCACCTCCATGAGAGAATAATTGTGAGGGGAAAAAGGCATCCATGGGAGAAGGAGGTTAGGGAATCACAGAATGGTTTGGGTTGGAAGGGATCTTAAAGCTCACCCAGTTCCAACACCCTGCAATGAGCAGGGACACCTTCCACTAGACCAGGTTGCTCAGAATCACATCCAGCCAGATATGCCTCCTTCTCCCTGCTCTCCTCAGAAAGAATTGACCCATCTGCAAGCACACTGTGTGCATTTACCACTTCTAATTTCCTCTGCTATTTCAATGCAGAAAGGGGGATGCTATGGCTTGTGTTACACATGCCAATCCTGAGGCACCAGGCATCTTCTCAAGAGCCTGCAGATGGACTGCAATGAAAATGAGCATAACTACACACTCAAACTTGGCCTGAGAGATGCCTGCAGCTCAGCACAGAACTATCTCACCCTCCTCCCCTTCCGCAGCCATCACCATCTTGAACATCAGGAGTATTTCTTGACAGGTTCCTTTTGAAAGCCATCCCCTCCTGCCTTAGTATCTCAGTCCTCTAAATCCTCACTCAATCTCACTTCCTGCGGACCCTTGCCTGGCAGGCTCACAATCACTGCTGTCACCCAGCTCAGGATAAACGGATGCCTGCAATACACATTTTCTTATCCTCAGAAGGAAAAGAAAACAACAAATCGTTCAAGAACTTGACATATTTTTCATCCTTAGCTAGGATAAAAAGACAAAAATCTGCAGTAAAATGAAATTAGATGAAGAAGAAGCCATGCCTCTCTCTTGAAAGGATTTCAGCTCATGGAAAATGTTTAGCTTGGCAAATCTGTAATGGAGTCGGTTTGTTTTTGACACAGTCTGTTGATTTCACACAATTCCTATAAAATTAATTTCCAAATACCTCCACAATTCTTTTCATTGTGAAGCACACAACAAAGAGGCCCTTTTCAAGACACAAATTCGTCAAAATCCACACAAATCTACAAAAACACAGCTTCCACTCAAATTACATTTTCCCTCAGAAACCCCGGGTTGAACACATGTGTTTTCCCTGCAGTCCTCAGTGACTCATAAACATCTTCACTTGCTAATCACTGCTCCACCACTGGGCTGGCAACGAGCATCAGCCTGGTGTGCCAGACGAGCGCTGTTGTAGGGCAGTCCAGCCATTGGTTTTGGAGGATACAAAACTAAAACTGGCCCAAAACATCAGAAAACAAAAAGGAAACACTTGTCTCACTCAATTGTTTTCATCCCCTGATCAGTTCCAGCAGTTAAATGATGATATATTGTCTACAGAGCTGCAGTTCCAGATTAAATGGCCATTGCCAAAGGATAGCTTATAAAGTGCTCCCCCTCAGTACTCTGTAGGAATCAAAGGTATCCTAAGAGTATCTTGTCTGCATTTGGGTCATTTACTTCATTTTCCTTACAGAAAAACCTTCTCTCTATTGAACCAAAGCAGTCCAAATACCACTACGTGAAATAAGAGTTAAAATGAAGACGCCTCACAAAAGGGCAGGCACATGCTCCTTGCAACTGGACTGTCTGAGTCTCCAAAACATAGTAACACAAAGAGCAAAGAAGAATTACCAGAACTATGTGAAGAAAGCCAAACCAGCAGATAGCAACTAATGAGATATCTTGAAAACCACAATTATTTGGCTGTCAAAGGGTCTGCCGCCCACCTACAGATGCTCAGACTGCTGAAACATGGAAATGGTTTGTCCTGGGTGGAATTAAACAGATTATGGAAGAGACAGACAAGCCTGCTGCCTGTGAAAGGGGACAGCACAGTGCTCAGTGGAGGCTGGGTATGATGACTTTAAATCACTAACACTGATAAGATGAAGAAATTCCTCTGCAGAGACATAAGAAATACAAACACACCTGGATTTATTAAATGCAGTGGAAGAAAATCCCTAGAATTTAACTTCATAGTTATCAGGGCTTTTTTAATGCTGCCTGAGAGCACTGGTCATGATGGGGTCAACACTTGCCTACTTAGAGGAACCTTACAGTAGAGTAACAACTCATCACATCAGCAGTGACTGCAAGAAATGACTTGGAGAGTCTCAACACAGCATAAAGCATCTACTGGATCATTATAAGCTGCTGCAGAAGTGTGGGGGATTTTAAAAGGTATCTTGTGCCTGCCTGTATAATGCAGAAGGTCTGGAGCCCTGTTTTGACCACAGATACCACTTAGGTATCTACAGACCATACCATGTGTTACAGTTATCCTTGACCTTACATGCATGTGCTACCTCCCTGATGATTTGCCTCTCATCCATCCATGTCCCCCTCTTCCCCTTCCCTCTCTGGGGCTCAGAGCACAGTCAGCACCCGCTGCAGAAACCCTCACCTGTCCTGGGTCCCGTGTGACCCCACTTTTTCGTTCTTCATGCAGAAATCGGGCGAGCTCTGCAGGTAAATCAGCTCTGTCTCTTTAACCGGCCTGATATCAATATCCTTTGGCACGAGGTATTTGCGTGTGCCCATGGGCCGGTGAACGACCTTGGTGGCTGATAAGTACTTGTTTTTGAGGTCCAATGCAATGTCTCGCAGCTCTTGAAGGCCTTTCCAACAGGTCTTGATAGAGCATGACCCAGAAACTCCATGACACTTACATTTCATTTCAAGAGAGGCTTTCAAGACCTGCAAAAAGGAATGCAGGAGTTAGGAAATGCCCTTCTCTTACCTCCAAACATCTCACAAACTTGCTAAAGAAAGCACTTTCTTAACGGGGTGTGCTACAGAAGAGGAATGCTGCTCTGATTTCTGCACAGTCACCTTAGAGTAGCTCCTGTGCAAAGGGAATGAGATCCCACAACTCCTTTGTGATCACTATCATAGAATCATAGAAACATAGAATCATAGAATAGTTAGGGTTATCCCAAGGCTACTTTCACCAAGGTACTTTTGCAGCCAGCAGACAGAAAAGCATGTTGAATTTTGATCTGATATTTACATAGGGCTGCATTTCTCCCCTCTAAATTCCTAAGCAGGTGAAAATCAAAGCAATCTATTAAATAGACCATTAACATCCATTTCTGCCCCCAGCAGCTCTTTGAGCAAAAGATGTCAAGGCTCTGATGAATTGAGGGCATCCTCACCCTGCCTTTCTGCTGGCCATGGGGCCAGAAGAGCCTTTTACTTTGATTCTGCACTATAATTTCTGTGGGACACTGCTAAGAAGGGCTGAATCCACCAGCCATGGCAATGCTATGTCCCAAGCAAAGATTTTCCCATTGAAATGAAAACAAAACCTCAATACATTATGAAAATAAAAAATCAGATAGAGTGGGAATGGTAGAGTAAAACACCCAGAGGAGGCAGGTTTGGCATGGTTGTGCTCTGCAAAGGTGAGTTCAGCTTGTAGCTACACAGGAAGCTGCCAATGAGCTTAACATGCTCCAAGGTTCATCCCCTCCAGTGCCCTGGAAAGGTCCACACTGTGTGGTAGGACCAGCCTCAGGAACCACTGCATCTGCAGACATGGGTACATGGCTCAGGTCTACAGCCCCCCACCCATTTCTCCACTGTATGGAGGGCTGAGATAGGGATTTGCACCTCGGTGCACCCCAAGCACTGCACATGGTAAGCATTATCCCTCCGCTGGATGCGAGCTGTTGAAAGCAGCTTCTGCCAGATACGGGAATAATCACTAGCGAAGCAGTTTGGAAAGGAAGGCTCATCCCTCCTGGCTGCAGGGGATGGCTGGGAGGGAGGCAGCTGCTCCTGGATGCATCTGGCAGATGATAATCCTCCACGCTTACACAGCACTTTGCCTGTGCAACGCCCTTGGCAGAGCACGACCGGACCCATCCCCACCACACCTCTTGGGGTATAAGCAAGCCAGAGCCATCCTTGGCTGTGGAGAGGGTGGCAATGAGACAATCCCACCCCTGGTTATGTATTAGAGGGCTGATGATAGCATTCAGGACCTCCGGAGTCCCAGTGTGAGTTATAGAGTCTTCAGCAGGCCAAAGGAGATCAGAACAACGTGGGATAAACCTGCTCCTTTTGCTAGCTGATAGAGACACTGAACCTCACAGAGCGACCGACCACTACAGATGATTGTACAATTACAATAACTCTCGTGGATTTGTTACCTGTCTCCCTACTTCACTGTTGTGCAGATGCATCAGTTTATTGGCTTGTGATCCTGATTTTTTCATCTTCATGGGAGCATCTGAAAATTTGGACCCCATGATAAGACCATAGTTGAGGTTGTCTGCACATCCTCCCCATCGATACCCAGGTCCAGGTGTCTCACCTGGGATGGGACCACAGGAACAGCCAGGGAGGTCCCCGGTGGTGCAGGCTCTGGCAATGGTGTGGCTGATGGCAGCAGCAGAAAGGGCATACACAAATGCTGACTCCCTTGTGCCTGGAAGAGAAAAGAACAAGCTCAGCCTCCTGGGACAGCTAAAAGTCCCCCAACAAGAGATCCACACAATCCGTGCCCCTCAAAGCAGCAAATACACCAAGTCACTGCAGCTGAGCCTTCCCATAGCATCATCAGCTTGGAGCACATCTTCAACACCAGACAACATCCAAGCAAGTCAAGGAGGCGCATGGAATTATACAACTTGTCCATCATGGTGTGACCTGCTCTTGGAGCAGATGAATAAGCCCCTCCATGGACTCTCCTGCCTCCTTTTGCCCCTCTGCTGGATGCTGCTTGCCAGCAGGTCGTGGAGCTGGCATAAATAGAGCTGGGGAAGGTACTGGGAGGCCACAAAGATGCAACACGAGTGTGCAAGGATGCTGTGACCCGTGAAAGCTGAGTGCAGCCTCACACATAGCATGTGCTGCTTGACAAGCCTGCGTGTCGTGAACAGCAGCTCCATGGCTGTGAGCAAGTGCACCATGACTCCTAATAAGATGAGCAGACCAGGTTAGTGGCATGCTTTGTGGAAGACCAGGTTTGGACTAGAGACAACCTGGCCGTGACTGGCACCATGAGGATAAACATGGTCTCAGAGAACAGAAGAACTAGGCTACATAGTCCCTCAACATCCCCCTGGTAGCAAGACCCTTCCCAGCCCCAGCACACATACATACACGCACTGGCTGACTCTACTCACTCATGTCCCCGGCTGACAGCAGTGCTGTTTACCTCTCTCTAAGTCCAGCAGGTAGTTAGGAGCCAGCTCAATGGAAGAGCAGTTCCACCTCATGTCTGAGAAGGTTTTACGGCAGGTCTTTATCACTTCCCGTGCTGCCTGGATGATGGTCTGCATTAGCTCCAGGTTGCTGCGGCACAGTTGTACCTGGGAAACCACCAAGCCTTCGAGCTGCTTGCAGTGCTGGGTTTGATTCAGGGCCAGAGCTGAAGGGGTCTTGGACAAAGCTCTGAGGAGACAAGAACATGCAAAAAGACATTAAACCCCACAAAAAACCCCAGTTAATCTTCTGGTCAATATGAACATCTCCATCACCTCCAGTCCAGTGAATGCTTTGACCTATGTTTGTCTGACTTCATTTTAGCTACCTGTAAATAGGTGCTAGTTTAAGCTGATGAGAAAGATAGGCAACTATGAAAAGTGATTTATCTCATCTAAAGTAGGTATTTAAGGTAGGTGGGAAGAAACATCCTCTAGAAGTGTGCATTTCTCTCCATCATCTAGGAGAGCCTGGACAAAGCTTCTAGGGCATATGCCAAGTTGATTGAATGTGTAAATCCTTATGGGAAGGGTTTTTGCTGAAGAACGAAGAGGATGGACCTCCCAACAGAGTGAAAAATGACCCATCATTTCCACGATAACAGAAAGTTGGATCTTCCAAGACTGTGGTACTGGGAGAGGGGAGGGAAAGTGAAGTTGGTGCTATCAGTGTTTTGCATTCAGCATTTGTCTCACACACTCTCTAACGATTATGCTAAATGTCATGTAATTAATTATGGAGAAAATCCCCTGTAAGGCCCAGGGAAAAGCCACCACGTTTGCAAAACAGATGCTTTCCCTTAGAGTTAATGCCAAGGGCCTCCATCAAATCCATCACTGTTGCACATAGATAAGTCTGTTTCTGTAGGCTCCAAAAACGTAGTGCAGAAGCACAAAGAGAGGATGTGCAGAGAAAGCACCATGGCCAAAACTAAGAAGGGATCCACTAGCACCAAGGAAGAAACCAACAACCCCCCAAAGACTCCACTTGTCCTCCTAGTGTGTAATTGCCAACATTTCTAAGCAAAAAAGAAAAAAGCAAATGCTGCCATGCATAGAATCATAGAATTATGGAATGGTTTGGGTTGGAAAGGACCTTAAGATCATCCAGGTCCAACCCCCTGCAATGCTCAGGGACACTTCACCCTAGACCATGTCACCCAAGGCTTTGTTCAATTGGCCTTGAACACTGCCAGAGATGGAGCATTTACCACTTGTGCTCTTCTCCCCCTAGCACCCACAGCGAGCAGCAGAAGCCTGGTGTGTAACTCTCTTTGTATCTTTATGACCCGCTTAGGGTAGTCATAAATGTTATTCATTCCCATAAAACAACTTTCTAGCTGGCTGCATCAGTAACTGGCATCTGATCCTGGCAACACAACTGCCTTAACACATATTTCCTTCTCTCCTTGTTAAATGCATTGCTTTTCAGTTTCATCCTAAGCCATCTTGGTTAGTTTGGCTTATTAGCAGACACATTTCTGGGTGCATTTCACTTTATTACTGTAACATCCACATCCTTCAGAAGTTAAATGAGATGGAAACGGAGCTAAAATTGAGCCCTAACCAAGACTGTGGGTATTAGCTCTGATCTCCGGTTTTCAGGAAAACACATCTCTGTTCCACCAGCTCCCTCAAGGCTGGCTCCCACAGCTGCTGTGTATGTTGGAGCTCTCTCTGGGCTGCACATAACTGCTAACCCCAACCACTATTCCAGCTGGGAAAAGCTATGATCCTTGCTAGGGCTGACTAGGTCTGCACTGACAAATTCCC